AAAGAACAGTCGGGCTCCCAAAGTATATTGATCGGGCTGTTGCGGTCTTTGAGCAGGGTTGCCAAGATGCTGAAGTCTTTGAGCAGAGTTCGTACAAGATTGGACTCAGCTCCTTAGGGTGGTCGAGCTTTTCCCAGCCAGGATTGTCGAGTTGACACAGTAAAAGAGTTGGACATAAATTGGTTTTAGTAAAAGAGGAAAGCATTAGTTTAACTATGTATATTTGTCTTCGTGTGTCACTTCAATTCAATGATTGCTCTTTAGATGCATTGTTTTTATCCTCATAAATTATTATTTCATTCCAACTTCTCACATTTAATGCTTTCATGAGCAAGATTTACTTATCATAGAATTATGTTTTTATGCAATATTGAAATAAATTATCTTAACTTAATACCAATTTTTGTTCCTAATTTTGTTAGTTTTGTTCAAAGTGGTTCTTCTATTTTTGAGTTATTTAGAGTGGTCTCATGTTTTATAAAAATGGTTCATATTTGTCCTTTTTGCTGACGATGTTAAAAAGGCTAACGGTGTAATGTCCACCTAAGTCAATAGTGAATGAGTTGTCCGATTATTCATTACGTGGCAAGCTCAGGTCAATTGACATGTAAATGTCATGTTTATTGATGTGGAAATGTTAAAAGTTAAAGTTATTGGGTAAAAGGAAAGAATAAGGGTTTGTAATTGAAGAGAGTTAGGGTTCGTGGAAGTTCTTCCTTGAATTGAGTAAAGTCGTTGTGGCGAGATAGGTATAACTTCTTCCCAAGGTTGTTCTTCTTGTTCCAATACATAAGATAAAGGAATTTCTCATTCCTCACATGGTGGTAGTTGGAGGGGAGGTGTGATAATCCCTATTTGTAACTGTGGTGATATTGTTGTAACCAAAATGGCCAGAACTACAAAGAATGGCTAGTGGACAATTTTGGGGATGTCGTCATTACAAGGTTTTATGAATACCATTTTCACTTTATGTGTATTGGATTTATGTGTTGATACATTTCCTGACTTTGAAGTTATTTTAGTGAGTAACATGGTGATCTTCAAATAGGATGTCTTGTAACTTTTTCAAGTGGTGTTCTGAAGAAAACCTTGATGAAATAGATCTACAATTGTCAGGCAAAGGAGGAGGATACATGATTTGGAAAATTTAGTGAAATTATTGAATAAAAGGATAAAATTCTTAGTTGGAGTTGTGTGTGTTGGTATTGTGCTGAACATTTTGATATTGTGGTTCTGTTTAGGTTGATGTTGTTAGGTGGGCAATGTGGTCGTATCTTATAAAATTCTTAGCTGGAGTTGTGTGTGTTGGTATTGCGTTGAACATTTTGATATTGTGGTTCTGTTTAGGTTGATGTTGTTAGGTGGGCAATGTGGTTGTATCTTTTGTTCATGTAATGTTGAGGTGAATGTTTAGATTCATGTGTTTAGGTGATTTTTGTAGGTTCATGTAATGGATGATGCATGACTCTATGTTATAATGAGTTCAAATGAAGAATCTGATTTCGTTATGGATTGTTCAATTTATTCTCCCTTTTAATTAAAAAATGTGCAATGTGGTCCCAAATGTATACGAACATGATACATATGAAGGATACTTGACATAATATAGTAATAGTAGTGGTAGAAATGGTAATATAAATCATTTAATATCATAAGATTATGACGTAATAAAATAATAATATTATAAGAAAAGCACCATCAAAGTGCTTAATATCAATACATAATTAAAATGCATAATATTAGTACATATACACCATCAAAGTACTTAATTACAGTTGATCAAATTACATCACCATCAAAGTACATAATTAAAGTGGTTAATATCAGTATAAATTACATCCAAATTTTTCCCAATGAAAGTAAATCAAATTACATCTAAGGAGTTTTTCTTCTGATATCTAACTTGTTCCTTCTCATTAGTGGACTTAACTTTGGAATGGATTCTTGAGTTGGCTGTAGTGGTTGAGGGGATTAGAGACCCGATGGCTGTGATGTAGAGGGAATTGAGGACTTCGTGGTTGTGATGGTACAGGAGATTGGGTACTTGGTGGTTGTGATGGTTATGTGATGTCAGGACATAAGGGACAGTGATTTTTGTTGTACCCAACTTTACAGTAGATATTACACTTCTTTCTATGGCCACCGACACTCATTTAGGTCTCATCCCTAGTTAGCTCTCATGCCTCCAACTTTTGTTTTTTCTTTAGCCTTCCACGCAACTTCCTCTTAAACGGTGCCAATACATCTAGGAAGCTTGTTGTTTCCCACAACAGGTGGCCATTTACATGATAAATGATTGAGGCATATGTCTCTTCATATGTGGATCTTTTGAACCAACTTGGAATAAAATTTTGTGGGTCTATATTTGAGTAGTTCATTGTTGCAATTGCATGACAACAAGGGATCCCACTAATCATACACTTCCTATAGTTACATTGTTCATTGTCAAGGTCCACTGTGAACTTGTTCCCAATGACTGAAACGTGCTTAACCTCAAAGATCTTTTATGCAGACCAGCTGAAAGAAATAAAGGACATGAACATAAATAAAAAATGGACATGAACATAAATGAGAATTGGATATGAACATAAATGAGAATATTTCCTTGGGATCCAATATCTTGATAAATTTGATTCATTGTCTAGTCTCTTTTTAATCTTTGGGCAGATGGAGAAATCCATAGATGCCACATTGGTTATGTTCGTGGCCTATTGCTTCATGAGATAAAGTTTGATCTCCTCCAGGATGGTGATAATGAGTTTTCCTTTAGCATGAACAATAAGACTGTTGAAAACTTCACTCATGTTGTTATCAAGGGTAACACACTGCTTGAGTTATGAACCGAGATCTTGACTGATACCTATTACAAAAAAGTAAGGAAAATGGGTTACCATACACGAGTTTCGTTAATGTGCATGTAAGGAAAAAAGTGTACCTCGGAGGAATAAATATGACGTATTTATATAATTTTACATTTACTTCTCCAATATTGAGCATTTCTCTCTTTCAAGCCTGGGGGTACATGCTTGTAGCAACCCTCCACATCAGATTCTTCAATATCTGACCAGAAAATATTTTCCTAAAGTTTGCATACACGTTCCTCATGCAGAATCTTTGTTCTGCCCAGGCAAAAGTTTATGGATAGTTGGCACCAACCCTTGTCCACATCAATTTACTAATCAGACAGACATACATCTATTACAATGCATGAAGTAAAAACTAATCAAAGCATTGTACGTACCTTTTGTTGGTCAAACATCCACGTGCATGACCCACACACTTCATTACTCCCAAGGTCTTCAACCAATAACTGTAAAAACCACATCCAAGTGTCTTTATTCTCGACTTCAACTACTGCATTTGCTGGTGGTAACATCTGCTCATTTGAATCCCTAGCAACAGTAGCAAGCAGCTCTCCCTTATACTTACCTTTCAAAACACACACATCTAAACAGGTCTATAACTCACAAAACTATCCTTACAAGCTTCCAGACAAACATAAAATCTTTGGAAGATTGAGTCACCATTATCACTATCTACTTTAACCTTACCTGTTGACCTTGGGTTACACCTCAACAACTCATGTGCACAGTCATAAATCCTTCTAAATTGTTCTTTAAAGTCACCTTCAAATTGACTTGAGGCCATTAACTTTGTCCTTCATGCTTTAGAAATTGAAACATTGGTATTTCATTTCCTTAATGCTTAAGAACGTATCACATTCACCCTTAAATTAGGATTGTCTTGTAAATACCTATCTAATTTTTCACTCAACCACTTACTATTCATCATTTTAATGTTAAATTATCTACCGCAAGTACGAGTATCAGCTATTTTCCTTAATTGCCAAATTTTGTGTGATGACAAAAACCCATAGTAAGCTACCCGTGGACACTTACATTGGCCACCCATGTCTCTCACCCTTATTCTACATTTATCATTTTTCACAAACTTTAGAGCCCTCCAAGAATGAACAACATAGCTTCTAATGGCCTCCTTGAATTCATCCTTATCTGTAAATGTAGTCTCAACTTGTCATCTGTAATCTGCCATTGACTTTTGTTTTCAATATATAGGAAATAGACCACGACTTGGTCTATCCTCATTGTCATACTCCTCACTTACATTATTTTCTAGAGTTAACAGGAATTTAGAATCTCATTCATCATTTGACAAGCCCCTACCATGTCCTTTTGGTTCAATACCACTCTCTTCAGCCCTATATTCTTCATCACTCTCATGTACCTCCAAACCAATACAAACATCTTTTGCCTACTCCACGCACTCATCACCACTAAGATGATCCATATGTGTTTCATCCTCACTGCCCAGTTCAACTTATTCCTTATTGTCCACTCCACCCTTTGTCTTTAGCAACTCACCCTCAGTCACCAACTCAGCATCATTTTGCACGTCCACCTCAGCCTCTGTGTGCACCCCCACTTCAACACATTCAACTGCTCCTTCCTCAACCTTCTTTTTGTGCTTCAAGTTCATCATCACATTTCCTTCATCACCAGCCTCAACANGGACAAGCAGTTCCATTTAAAAAAACAACTAATGAATACGCGACATCTAACGTTGTCAAATAGTTGGTAAATATATATTGTCAAAAAAACATAATAATAAATATAGAGTTATCCTCAAGCCGATTAAATTTTCCAGGTAATGGTTAATTGATATTTTATCAATAATTTTGTTTCAACTTTCAAAATATAATGAAATATCCTCTGAGTTATACCTTGATTATTGTATCTAAAGGTTGACATATATAATTATTAATATCAGGTATGTAACTTAACTGTTAAATTAATATATTACTAAAGAAAGTAGCTAGTTTTAAGGACTTATTACACAATGTTTGTTTCTCGTTATTAAAAAGTGTTTTCTGTTTTTAAAAACAAGATAACTAAAGGACATGTATGTTAACATATAGTTTCATTGTTGAACTCATTCAAGCCCTTATATAAAGACGTAAACTTAGAAAAGAGAAAATGACAAAGAAAAACAGTAGAACAATAAACTTAGAACCTTATATGATACAAACATACGTAGCCCTTAAGTAATTATATATGGTGAAGAAAAGGATAATCCGTGTATCCAATAACAGGGTGATGCGTGTAAAAGGTGGTGGGATCGGGTTCGTTTAACTCAGCATCCAATTCAAATCTTGCGGGGAGATCTGGATTGGCCAAAAAGAGGCGTCCATAAGCGATCAAATCGGCGGCGCCGCTAGATATAGCCTCGTTTCCCTCACTCCTATCGTAACCACCAGCCACAATAAAAGTCCCCTTGAAGGCCTTCCTTATTGGTGTTAGTGACCATTTGGTGTGAAACTTATCGAATTGTGTTACCATCCTGGGCTCGATCAAGTGAATATACAGAATCCCCACTTCACTCAATGACTGAGCCATGTATTGGCCCAATGCCTGAGGGTTAGAGTCTCCGCAATCGTTATAATCAGCAAATGGCGAGAGCCTAATCCCAACCTTATCAACTCCGATCTCATCGGCCACTGCCTTCACCACTTGCAGTGGGAAGCGGCAACGGTTTTCTAAGCTACCTCCGTATTCGTCATCTCTGTCGTTCACCTCGTCCTTCAGAAACTGCTCCAGTAAGTACCCGTTCCCTCCGTGTATCTCCACTCCATCAAAACCTGCACGTATGTCAACAACATCAAACAACAAATACTAACATCACCCCGAAAATATATAGATAAAGTAGAAATCATCTAAAGAAACTCTATTAGACCGATGGAGTAGATGGTGTTATGTATTTTTTATAAAATGATGATGATTGAGAGTCGAATATCACAATCAAACGTATACTTGCCCGCTTCGATGGCATTTTTAGCAGCAATGACGAAGTCATTGACAAGCTCGGGGACTTCATCGGTTCTCACCCGGCGAGGAGTTGTGTATCTATCAGCTGTTGCTTTATTATTGCCAATATCCTTACGAAGTCGCTTCTCTGTGCTTGATATCGGGGCTTCGCCATCCGGTTGATATTCTACAGTTGTATACAAATAAATTCATAATTAATCAGCGTAATCTGTGTTCTTTATCAAAACATAAACTTACCTTTTTAGTAAAAAAATTTAGGATGTTATAATAAGAGAAATATTATCAATTTTGAAGAGTGGAAAGTATACGAGAGTTAGAGACTCTTCCGGCGTGCCAAAGTTGACAAAAGAAAATAGCTCCCTTCTCATGAACAGCGCTCACAATGGGTTTCCAAGCTTCCAGCTGTTCTCTTGTCCAAATTCCAGGTGTGTTAGGGTACCTTTGGTTTGGACAAATAGAATCCAGCCACGCATAAGGATTAGAACGACCACCGTAGAATAGAAGATAGAGTATGTGTGATCCAGATATACGAGGATATGAAACATGGTAAATTAGTGAAGAATATGTACCCCTGTGCTGTAGGAGAGACACCGGAGGCCTCCCCAATCAAGAAGCCACCCTTAGTAGCTCTCTGAGAATAATATAGAACAGCATGCGACTGAGCGACGAAGTTGTAAGACCTCGATCGTGTTAAGGGTGCCAACACTATCCTGCACAGGATAAAAAATCATGATTAGCAAGCATATGCGCACTCATCGATTGAGAAAAGAAAGTGAAGGGTACCTGTGGGATAGATCGAAATTCCCCATCTTGTATGGGTTGAGCAAGGGTATAACCTCTCTTTCATCCACTTCTTTTCTTTCTTCTTTCTTGCTCATGTCCACGCTCCTCCCACTTGCAACCACATTGATTTCAAAATTTGTATGATTTTAATACCATATTCTTCCTTATTATAAAATCCGTTCTTTTCCTATCCTATCACAATTTCAGAGGTCATCCTCACTAATGTATCTGGTCACATAGAGTCCCTGTAAGCTGACTCGTGTATCTGTCCAAAATATTCATTTGACACGCTGCTTTATTATTTTAATTAAAATGCTATGAAAAACGGTCGGTTATAAAAAACTTAGTATCCTTTGAAATTGAAGGGTTTGGCTGAAAATTTTTCATTCCCACTGTGTTGTCGTGAGATTAAAAAAGATAACTGATTTTCTTCCAGCATTTAAGGCTTTGATTCTTCTCGGGAAAGATGGATTTTTGAGCAAGTAGAAAATTATCACACTTTGGTAAAGTAGGATGTGGAGTAAAAAATGTGCAAGGATGCTTTCCTTTGAGAAGCCATCAAAATTCATATTATGAACCTTGTCAAGTGGTTCAGCCGGAATCTCGAGTTGAGTGGCCGGGCTGCCAAGAGAGAGCTTCTTCCAAAGAACAGTCGGGCTCCCAAAGTATATTGATCGGGCTGTTGCGGTCTTTGAGCAGGGTTGCCAAGATGCTGAAGTCTTTGAGCAGAGTTCGTACAAGATTGGACTCAGCTCCTTAGGGTGGTCGAGCTTTTCCCAGCCAGGATTGTCGAGTTGACACAGTAAAAGAGTTGGACATAAATTGGTTTTAGTAAAAGAGGAAAGCATTAGTTTAACTATGTATATTTGTCTTCGTGTGTCACTTCAATTCAATGATTGCTCTTTAGATGCATTGTTTTTATCCTCATAAATTATTATTTCATTCCAACTTCTCACATTTAATGCTTTCATGAGCAAGATTTACTTATCATAGAATTATGTTTTTATGCAATATTGAAATAAATTATCTTAACTTAATACCAATTTTTGTTCCTAATTTTGTTAGTTATGTTCAAAGTGGTTCTTCTATTTTTGAGTTATTTAGAGTGGTCTCATGTTTTATAAAAATGGTTCATATTTGTCCTTTTTGCTGACGATGTTAAAAAGGCTAACGGTGTAATGTCCACCTAAGTCAATAGTGAATGAGTTGTCCGATTATTCATTACGTGGCAAGCTCAGGTCAATTGACATGTAAATGTCATGTTTATTGATGTGGAAATGTTAAAAGTTAAAGTTATTGGGTAAAAGGAAAGAATAAGGGTTTGTAATTGAAGAGAGTTAGGGTTCGTGGAAGTTCTTCCTTGAATTGAGCAAAGTCGTTATGGCGAGATAGGTATAACTTCTTCCCAAGGTTGTTCTTCTTGTTCTAATACATAAGATAAAGGAATTTCTCATTCCTCACATGGTGGTAGTTGGAGGGGAGGTGGTAGTTGGAGGGGAGGTGTGATAATCCCTATTTGTAACTGTGGTGATATTGCTGTAACCAAAATGGCTAGAACTACAAAGAATGGATAGTAGACAATTTTGGGGATGTCGTCATTACAAGGTTTTATGAATACCATTTTCACTTTATGTGTATTGGATTTATGTGTTGATACATTTCCTGACTTTGAAGTTATTTTAGTGAGTAACATGGTGATCTTCAAATAGGATGTCTTGTAACTTTTTCAAGTGGTGTTCTGAAGAAAACCTTGATGAAATAGATCTACAATTGTCAGGCAAAGGAGGAGGATACATGATTTGGAAAATTTAGTGAAATTATTGAATAAAAGGATAAAATTCTTAGTTGGAGTTGTGTGTGTTGGTATTGTGCTGAACATTTTGATATTGTGGTTCTGTTTAGGTTGATGTTGTTAGGTGGGCAATGTGGTCGTATCTTATAAAATTCTTAGCTGGAGTTGTGTGTGTTGGTATTGCGTTGAACATTTTGATATTGTGGTTCTGTTTAGGTTGATGTTGTTAGGTGGGCAATGTGGTTGTATCTTTTAAAATTGTAATGTTGAGGTGTATGTGTAGATTAAGCAGTGAACATTTTGATATTGTGGTTCTGTTTAGGTTGATGTTGTTAGGTGGGCAATGTGGTTGTATCTTTTGTTCATGTAATGTTGAGGTGAATGTTTAGATTCATGTGTTTAGGTGATTTTTGTAGGTTCATGTAATGGATGATGTATGACTCTATGTTATAATGAGTTCAAATGAAGAATCTGATTTTGTTATGGATTGTTCAATTTATTCTCCCTTTTAATTAAAAAATGTGCAATGAGGTCCCAAATGTATACGAACATGATACATATGAAGGATACTTGACATAATATAGTAATAGTAGTGGTAGAAATGGTAATATAAATCATTTAATAACATAAGATTATGACGTAATAAAATAATAATATTATAAGAAAAGCACCATCAAAGTGCTTAATATCAATACATAATTAAAATGCATAATATTAATACATATACACCATCAAAGTACTTAATTACAGTTGATCAAATTACATCACCATCAAAGTACATAATTAAAGTGGTTAATATCAGTATAAATTACATCCAAATTTTTCCCAATGAAAGTAAATCAAATTACATCTAAGGAGTTTTTCTTCTGATATCTAACTTGTTCCTTCTCATTAGTGGACTTAACTTTGGAATGGATTCTTGAGTTGGCTGTAGTGGTTGAGGGGATTAGAGACCCGATGGCTGTGATGTAGAGGGAATTGAGGACTTCGTGGTTGTGATGGTACAGGAGATTGGGTACTTGGTGGTTGTGATGGTTATGTGATGTCAGGACATAAGGGACAGTGATTTTTGTTGTACCCAACTTTACAGTAGATATTACACTTCTTTCTATGGCCACCGACACTCATTTAGGTCTCATCCCTAGTTAGCTCTCATGCCTCCAACTTTTGTTTTTTCTTTAGCCTTCCACGCAACTTCCTCTTAAACGGTGCCAATACATCTAGGAAGCTTGTTGTTTCCCACAACAGGTGGCCATTTACATGATAAATGATTGAGGCATATGTCTCTTCATATGTGGATCTTTTGAACCAACTTGGAATAAAATTTTGTGGGTCTAAATTTGAGTAGTTCATTGTTGCAATTGCATGACAACAAGGGATCCCACTAATCATACACTTCCTATAGTTACATTGTTCATTGTCAAGGTCCACTGTGAACTTGTTCCCAATGACTGAAACGTGCTTAACCTCAAAGATCTTTTATGCAGACCAGCTGAAAGAAATAAAGGACATGAACATAAATAAAAAATGGACATGAACATAAATGAGAATTGGATATGAACATAAATGAGAATATTTCCTTGGGATCCAATATCTTGATAAATTTGATTCATTGTCTAGTCTCTTTTTAATCTTTGGGCAGATGGAGAAATCCATAGATGCCACATTGGTTATGTTCGTGGCCTATTGCTTCATGAGATAAAGTTTGATCTCCTCCAGGATGGTGATAATGAGTTTTCCTTTAGCATGAACAATAAGACTGTTGAAAACTTCACTCATGTTGTTATCAAGGGTAACACACTGCTTGAGTTATGAACCGAGATCTTGACTGATACCTATTACAAAAAAGTAAGGAAAATGGGTTACCATACACGAGTTTCGTTAATGTGCATGTAAGGAAAAAAGTGTACCTCGGAGGAATAAATATGACGTATTTATATAATTTTACATTTACTTCTCCAATATTGAGCATTTCTCTCTTTCAAGCCTGGGGGTACATGCTTGTAGCAACCCTCCACATCAGATTCTTCAATATCTGACCAGAAAATATTTTCCTAAAGTTTGCATACACGTTCCTCATGCAGAATCTTTGTTCTGCCCAGGCAAAAGTTTATGGATAGTTGGCACCAACCCTTGTCCACATCAATTTACTAATCAGACAGACATACATCTATTACAATGCATGAAGTAAAAACTAATCAAAGCATTGTACGTACCTTTTGTTGGTCAAACATCCACGTGCATGACCCACACACTTCATTACTCCCAAGGTCTTCAACCAATAACTGTAAAAACCACATCCAAGTGTCTTTATTCTCGACTTCAACTACTGCATTTGCTGGTGGTAACATCTGCTCATTTGAATCCCTAGCAACAGTAGCAAGCAGCTCTCCCTTATACTTACCTTTCAAAACACACACATCTAAACAGGTCTATAACTCACAAAACTATCCTTACAAGCTTCCAGACAAACATAAAATCTTTGGAAGATTGAGTCACCATTATCACTATCTACTTTAACCTTACCTGTTGACCTTGGGTTACACCTCAACAACTCATGTGCACAGTCATAAATCCTTCTAAATTGTTCTTTAAAGTCACCTTCAAATTGACTTGAGGCCATTAACTTTGTCCTTCATGCTTTAGAAATTGAAACATTGGTATTTCATTTCCTTAATGCTTAAGAACGTATCACATTCACCCTTAAATTAGGATTGTCTTGTAAATACCTATCTAATTTTTCACTCAACCACTTACTATTCATCATTTTAATGTTAAATTATCTACCGCAAGTACGAGTATCAGCTATTTTCCTTAATTGCCAAATTTTGTGTGATGACAAAAACCCATAGTAAGCTACCCGTGGACACTTACATTGGCCACCCATGTCTCTCACCCTTATTCTACATTTATCATTTTTCACAAACTTTAGAGCCCTCCAAGAATGAACAACATAGCTTCTAATGGCCTCCTTGAATTCATCCTTATCTGTAAATGTAGTCTCAACTTGTCATCTGTAATCTGCCATTGACTTTTGTTTTCAATATATAGGAAATAGACCACGACTTGGTCTATCCTCATTGTCATACTCCTCACTTACATTATTTTCTAGAGTTAACAGGAATTTAGAATCTCATTCATCATTTGACAAGCCCCTACCATGTCCTTTTGGTTCAATACCACTCTCTTCAGCCCTATATTCTTCATCACTCTCATGTACCTCCAAACCAATACAAACATCTTTTGCCTACTCCACGCACTCATCACCACTAAGATGATCCATATGTGTTTCATCCTCACTGCCCAGTTCAACTTATTCCTT